TATGTCGTAGTTTTTGAAAAAAACTCGGAGGAATGGAAAAGCAGGTGCGTGAAGGCTTTAAGAGACGAAAGTGTTTTGGAGGGGGGGGGGGGACTTTTATCCCTGTACTGTCCAGAGCCCTGAAGATCAGGCTGTAGGAAACAGCAATGCTGACAATTGTGTTTTGTGTAGAAGTGAAACTTGATTTCTTGGAAGACTTTGAAAACAAAGTGTCAGGAAAACATTTGAACGAGAGAGGGATAAATATAGTGCAGATGTAAGGGTCTCTGTTCTTTAAGCACCAAGCTATGAAGGGAGACATACGAGGGACAGGAAGTATAACCATTTTAACCTCTGAACTAGATGGTAATGTTAGGTCAGGTTCACGATTCGGCCACTCTGTCACTGTGGAAAGAGCCCAAGGCAATCATTGGACAGAAAGCGGCATGGTCCCTAGAGCCGGTTGGAACATAACGGTGAAGAGAGGGTCTGTGTGCCTGTCGGAATTACAAAATAATTGTTTCTGATTGATGTGACAGGAAGCGTATAGTAGCAGTAACGAGGGCTGTAGCCACTTGACAGACCTTGTTACTGTGTAGCAGTTACCTGTCTCCTCTCTTGAATCCCACAATAACAACTCCAGCATCCCGAGGCCTCTTTGAGAAGCCCATAGTTGCTTAGCCACTCACGAAGGTTCATTACCGCATTCAAAACAGCTCGCCACTGGTCTGTGTCCTGAGTCAGATGCATCAAGCTCACCCTCCATCCTGTTACTGTAATATAAAAGCTATCCCTGTAACATGCCGTGAAGGCCCATAGGACCTGTGAGATGTCGAGGCTCCCAAATTTTCTCTAGATAGTCGGCTTTATTCTACCATCTGCGTCTAGATGTGGGGCCAAGTAACTAGATATAGCGACGAGCTACGGGCTTGATGGCCGGGATTCGAGTCTCGATAGGGGCAAGAGATTGTTTTTTCTTTACATTGTTCAGACTGGCTCTGGTACCCACCAAGCCTCAAAATCATTGAGTATAAGGGGCAAAGCGGTTGAAAAATGAAGCTTTCCACTCATTTCCATGTAGTGCCGAGGTCCAGAATTGTGGAGCTGCACCCCCACAACCCTTAATTAAGCACAGGGACAGCTGTAACTTCATCAAGAATTTTCACTTCTCCATGTCGTCCAGACCAACTCTGAGGTCCACCCAACCTCCTACACCGTGGGTACCGGGGGTTGAAGCTGACCACTCACCTTCAGCTGGTGCAGAGGTCAAGGAAATATGGATCTATACATCCACCCCCCATACGTCTTCATGGCGTAATGCTTAATTAGTTAAGAACAGGGAAAACTTTACTTTTTACAGCTGTCTTACGTGTAGATGTTCCTAGTGGTCTCTTTCTTTTAAGATTTTCATACCAATACCCTGTGCATACTCCTCTACCATGCGTGAAGCATGTCCTAACCATTTCATACTCCCTAATTTGAATTTTACAGTAATATTTGGCTAGGATTACAAGTAATGATGCTCCTTATTATGCAGTTTTCTCCAGTTTCTCTTTCATCCATGTGTGCAGAAATAACAGGTTTTGACATTGTGATGCTTCCAGATGGCTAAGACGAGGTGAATTCTGTGCTTGCAGTGTTGAACCTAATGGCTTCGACTCTGCCGCCGCAAAAACGTGTCACATGGCGAGGGATGTCGTTCTGTCGCCGAGTCGCGTCATGATGTCGGCTCGCTCGACGCCCAACCTGCAACAGGCCCCGCCCTCTCAGCAGCAGCATCAGCAGCAACCGGACGCGGCCGTCGCGGTGCGGGGTGAAAACAAAACGTCCATCTACTCATATCTGCATAACCAATCGGGACTGAACTTCGCGCCAGTGGTGCAGCAGCAGACGCAAGGGGATACCGGGTCACCGCCTCCAGCACCACCCGTTCGAGACCCGTCCAGCCTCAAGTGTGTCAAATATGGGCCAGGTCACGAGAAGTTCCCATCGTGGCCGGTGTCTGCAGCCGCCGATACACCGCAGTCAATGCGGTCTGCTCCAGGAGGGGGTTCCCACAGGTCTAAGTCCTGGACTGACCATACAAATTATCCCAAGGAGAAAGGGATCACATACACGCGCCCCTACATGAAGCGCCCCAACCCGGCGTTCACTCAGCAGGTAAAAATTATCTTGCGAATTTGGGTTAGCACGTCACTACTCTAAAGTACAGGGCGTCCGGATGAAAGGCATCCAAAATAAAATTATATATATCAGAAAACTTTTATTATACACATTAATGGGTTACCCCACTATAATGGGAAACTATCAAAGTTTTCTTTCTGCATATATAACTCTCAGTAAATTTAAATATGGGCTCCCCTGGTAGCACGACAGATATCCAGACGATCCAGCATGTTTGGTGTTACCATAGCCACAGCGTCCCTTATGCGGGCTTTCAGGTGTTGCAGGTCGTTGATCTTAACCTGGTAGATGTTCTTCACATAACCCCACAAGAAAAAATTCACTGGGGTTAAATCTGGCGACCTAGGAGGCCAAGCGATTGTTCCATTTCTGCCAGTTCATATCCCAGCCATCTCTCTGTCCAGGCGATTCCTGACATGGTGGCAGAAATGTGGCGGCTCATGCGCGTAAGCCGGGTATGAAAAATAATAATTCAGAGTTTTCCTTTCCGATGGCATAAACCGGATATGTGTATGACAGTTACTTTCCGAGATATATATTTTTTATTTTGGATACCTTTCATCCAGACATCCTATATTTTTGACTTGGCTTGATGCAGTGTTTTCGCATACAGTAGCACGATCAGTAGCAATACCTGATTTAGAAACGGACACGGGGAAAATTGAATAATCCTGATTTCTTTCAGGACTATTCTGGTCCTCGCAAAATTTTCCAGGATTTGGGTTCTAGGTGAAATATTGGTGGGATAAGGGAACGTATGTTTTGTAGTTTCACTCTCAGACACTCAGTACTGTTAATCTGTGTACCCTGAAGTGGACTGCATAAGTAATATATATATATATATAGCCTCCCGTGTGGAGGCCGGGTCGAATACCTCCACCGTGACCCTGCGAGTCGTAGGAGGCGACGAAAAGGGAAGTCTCAAATCTGAGACAGTAAAATACGGTCGCGAGTCCTAAGGGACTCGGACCCGAGAAAGACTGCGGTGGCAAGGGTCAGTAGCATGTGAAAAAGACAGACCCGTCCTCTCATCAGAGAGGGCGCTCCACAAAAAACAAAACCGTAACGTTCAACAGTAATAAATATTGGGGCTCGACACCAAGATTTACTGACTGACTGAGTGACCGTCAGTCGCAATGTGACTTGGACTTAAAGGAGAGAACAAAAGGTATGACAGAATCTTTGTGCCTTCTTCCTTTTTGAAAGAACTGGGAGGATGAATGAAAGTCGAGCCATCAGTCTGACTTGTGGCAACAAAATCCTATTCACAAGATTAATTTAGTATTTGCACTGCATGAATATCAGTTATTCTGTCTACATGTGTTCTAAATCGGTATTCCTCAATCTGTGACCAGCAGGTCACTGTTAGCCCACAAGTCCCAGTTGGTATTATATGTATTTTCACCAACTGGAAACACTTATATTTCGTTTTATGAGTTCTTTACATAGTAAGGGGCACGCGGTAGCGTAGTTAACCACTATGATACAAGCCGGAAGGTCGTGGGTTCGAGTCCCGACGAGGTGGATTTTTTTCAGTTGACCTAACCCTTCCATCCGCACTATGGCCGTGGGGTCGACTCAGTCACTAACAGAAATGAGTACCAGGAATCTTCCTGGGGAGTAAAAGGTGGCCAGCGAGTAAGGCTGACAACCTTACCGATATCTCTGAGCCGATTGTCTAGAAAATGTGGGACCCTCAACGTCTCACAACTCTATAGGCCTCCATGGCCTGTTACAGGGATAGCTTTACCTTTTACCTTTACATAGTAAAGAAGAACACCTTTTATAGAAGTCATGTCTGTCTGTGGCATAGTATCAGTGCCTAGACCATGGACAAATGTTCTTACAGTCTCGTATAAGAGAATAATGCTAAAATTATTAGGATAGTTTTCATTTTGAGCCATATTAGTTTAGAAGACAGTATGACAGAGAAGCCCCTGAGGATTTGTAAGTTATATATGAACATTTCTGATTTGAATATAAGATTATTTTATATGTCTCAAGTTTTCACAGGAACCTGAATGCAGTAAAATCATCTCAGATTGTCAGATGTGCCTTTGTGGAACTGTATGCATCAAACGACTGTGCCTTACAACATATGTCACTGATAATGGAGGCACAGATAGTCTGCAGTATGCTGGAAGATTTCATTGCATTAGAAAGTTTATTTGTCAGTTTTTATTTCGGTGAACTGATATGTAAATTTAGATGTTTTTGTAGTAACATTGATTACCCATGAAGAGATTAATCGCAGCTACGGTTACTTTGTTTATGCAGATAATTTTCACTTTTCTGTCAGCAGCTGAAGACTGTCATGGAGAGATGCGAGAAGATTCCAGCAGAAACATTTGAATCACGACCTGAAATAGTGGAAGACAGTCAGGGACGCCTGTATCTCCCAAGGGTGGACCGTGAAGGCAAAGCTTTAGGAGACACAGAGTATATGGTTCCATCCCCTCCTGAGCGGGATATCATCAGTAAGCCACAGCTAACCCAGGCAGATCTGGAAGAGTATGCAAGATCTTATCAGGATCCACCACAACTTACACGAGTTGATCTTGAGGAATATGCAAGATCTTATCAGGATCCGAAGCCTCAGGCAACTCATCTCACGCAGGCAGACCTAGAAGAATACTCACGCACGTATGATGCACTAAAGCCACAACACCAGCAGCAGCAATCTTATGCTCAGTCGGAGGGATACCACAGTTATGTTTCTAGTACTGACTCTATCACCACAACGCCATTTCTGGACAGGTGAGATTGTGATTAAGTAAACACATTATATATCTGATATAATCTTTTGCTTAAGGATACTTCTGGCATGTTAGAAAATCTTGAAGCAAAAGCTAATAACACTATGTTCGAAATAGTTTGATATTATAAACTCAGAATGCTAAAAGTGTTTCATGAAGAGAGATTTCTCCAGGAATAAACAAATCAGCACTTTCAAGAATCCCGTGATTACAACTGTGGACATAAAATTTCAGCTGATTGCAAGCAAAATAATCATTATAATTAATGACTAATAAGTATGAATATTTTGCTGGCATGCAGTTGAAACAGAGTCATTATTGAAGTAATCAAATATTAGAATGTGTATTACACACATTACTCCTGCTGTGATGCTCTGTGCTCTGGTTAGTACCCACAAATTAAGACGCCCTGTGTACTGGTACAGTTGTATCAGTGCTGAATTTAACATGCAGTACTTATGACTAATTACAGCCTATCAGCTGATGTCTTAGTGATATGAGGAGTTTGACTAGAACTTGTTCTGGTTGCCTAGATACCAGCAAGCTTTATTCTGTGTTAAACTGTATCATTGGAATTGAGGTTTTCCTGTCACAGATGAGTCATATTGTGGTTCTCTGGATTATGATACCATGCAGTCTGTTACCCTAGAGATAGAGAAGTACTGTGTTCCATTGTATGATCATATCCGCCTAGCCGTCTACATGTTGTCATAACCCAAAAGACCAGATTCAATGTGTATATCATTGGATATTGACAATCTCATACATTCAAGTTTTGAAGCAAATTATTACATTTTTTAGCAAAGCATGTTCCCGGTACCATTCTTATACAAAGAAATTCCAAAGATCCATTCTGATATAAGCCTGATGATTTCTGAAGGTGGTGCATAAGAGATTTTTAGACTAAGAATTTGGGCACCGTCCATCATTCCAGGTTTTTCAAGCCATGATGTTTCAGAAACTGGTTTCTGTTTTCTTCACCAGATGTAAGGAATCCAAAGAGTTAGTCTCCATGTTTTGTCCTGTCAACAGATGAAGAAAATGGAAACAGTTTCCAAACTGCTGCGATTTGAAAACAGTATTCTGATGTTTGGTATGAAGCAAACCTTCAATTGCTTGTATATACTTCTTGGTCCCATCAGATGAGCCCACATTTAAAGAGGAAGTGAAGCCAAAATGACCTTATCCAAACTTGAATGTATAACTTGGCACTGTTTGTCCAAACACTTATGTCATACTTGGCACCATTGAATGTGTTAAATAATTACATTTCCACCTCCTTATGTTTTGCTTTACAACCCTTATTCATCAGTATGTGCAGTAGGTAGAAACCTAAATACTTAAAATAGTGCTGCTGGAATTCCTTTGCCAGCCAATAGATTACTACTATATTTTGTATCCGTTAGGTTGCGAAGAGACAGTGAAGCCACAACAAGACCAGGTGCAGCTCCGGAGACGTCGTGGGATGAGCACCCTGAAAGGGAACGTGATGGCAGTCATGCTGGCAGAGACAGCGTTGTAACAACAAGTTCGGGTAGTGCTTCCTCCAGCGAAACCCTAAAGTGGCATGGTTCCCTAAGTGATGTAAGTGTAGCAAGCAGTTCGTGCACACATCATGGGTCAGCATCTTCATCATCAAGGCAGCTTATAGCGCACAGTGCACGTGTTCAGACGCCGCAACGACATCACTCTGAGAGCGTTCTGTATCTTGGAGGTGGCAATACGACACAGGGTAATGGATGGCAGGCCCAAGTACAGCGCAATAACCACCATAACAAGTTACGGCTGTTCCCAGTGAACACGTACACTGTTCAGCCTATTGAGCAGCAGTCCTCTTCTCATAGGTATGTTAATGAACAACAGAATCTTACTCGTTTATTATCGTTTTGGAAGAGGTTGCATGGAGTGTTGTTAAATATGTGTTTGAAAAGCAATCACTTTAAAGTTGTTATTTTGTATTGCACCATTCAGTCCAGAACCTTTTGTCTTTTCGTTTGTTGTCCAAAAACATAAAAATTAGAATATACAGAACTATATTTTGAATTGTTTCATATTTGGTCCGTTACACTATCAATCACAAATTGTCAATGAATAATCCGTCGAGTGTAACAACGTTCTTAGGTCACTTATTTATTTCACTCGCCTTACATGTTTCGGTTCAAAAGAACCATCATCAGAGGCACGTTACAAACACATGAAACCACTGGCGTTGTATTGTACACAGTATGTAAGCTGCGTGATCTGCTACAGATGTCGGAGTGTAAAAGCACAACACTTTCTAGTAACGTTGAATGCATGTACACCTCTTGCATTCCATCCAAAGAATGCTCTCAAATTGAGCCGTCAATGTTAAAATATTTAAAAGCTTAAAACATTTGAAATAAAATTTGGCTCCTTGTTGATTCGTCCCGGTGATGGGAATCGTCAACTTGAGGTTGTGTATGCTTTTGGTCGGATGTGTCTTACGCGTTGTGTGTTTGTACTGTGGTTCTGTATGGGTGTGAAACTTGGTCTCTGACATTAAGGGAGGAACATAGACTGAGGGTAATTGAGAACAGGGTGTTGAGGAGAATATTTGGACCAAAGAGAGATGAAATCACAGGAGGTTGGAGAAAAGTGCATAATGAGGAGCTTCATAACTTGTACTCTTCTCCAAGTGTAATTAGAATGATCAGGTCAAGGAGGATGAGGTGGACAGGTCATGTAGCACGAATGGGGGAGATGAATGCGTATAGGATATTG